TAGATTTATTGAATGCTTTATTTGCTTGTACTGATGAATTAGTATTTAACAATTGTTCATCTGATTCATTGCAAGATTGTTTATGACTAATATTACGCGAATCTTCACGATCATTTTTTATGGATGCCGTACCGGCTACATTTGCTGGGCTATGCAGTTCACTACCTGTCGTTGTTTTAAGAAATGATTGGAAGCGTTTTCCAACTGAGATGCCGTAATCGAAATCAAGTATACATCCAACTGCATGATATCAATTCGAAAATAAATGATAGAAATAGATTTAGTTTTAGATTTAGTTTAAGACGGAGTGGGTGTGTATTGAGAGGAGCTAATGGGTAACTGTGGGTGGCAGTGCGAGTGGGATAGCTGCCTAATTCGACTTCGAATATAAATGCAAAAAAAAACACTTTCATGTTTTCCCGCAACCCCAGCAGAAGATTTCCTTTTTTATAAATTATAAAATTTATAATTCGAACTCGCTCCTATATATAATTTAGGAATAGATTTGGATTTCCTTTTTATAAGTTAAACAATTCGGGTGTGGGTTAGTTTGTGGACCACACTTGTGTGCCTTTTTTGGCAGCTACACTTGGTATGTTGGGTTTGTGTGTACACGGGTTGTCCGCCTTTCCTAGCAGCCGCACTTGGCGCAATTCGACGTGTTTGCGTTTTTCGAAGATACTGTCTCAAATTCTCAGCGTTCTCGTTTAAAACTAGTTGCTGCAATTTGTTTTCGTCTTCAAGGGTTTGTCGTGAATCGCTTTACAAGCGTTTGATACATAGTTAGATATTGGAGAGGAGAAAACCGGGGAGGAAATGCAGTTATCTGGAATCTTCAATATGTAGTGCCTAAATCGATTTTCGTGAAAGTTTCAGCCCGAAAGCTCTCCCACACCAAGCTGCGAGTAGTATCGAAGGAATGTGTCGCTGAGACGTATGTGAAAAATAATTTTAGATTAGTAGTATTTTTTAACTAGGAAATAGGGTCAGCCGAATATTTCTTAAAAAGCGATTTTCCCCTTGATTGTTGGCATAATTTATAAAAAGGAAACCTGAATATATTCCTAATTATAAATGGGAGCGAATTCGAATTATAAATTTTATGAGTCATAAAAAGGAAATCTAAATCTATTCATCAATTAAAAATTGGCTGCCAGTTTGACGATCTTTATCTTTTGCTTTGGAATGGTTTTTAAATGGGCGCGATTTTTTTGCATTTATTTTCGAATTGTGAATAGTTATTCAGATGTCCGTTTATATTCGAAGTCGAACTAGGCATCTCATGTGCGAGCGAAGGGTGACCCTAATCCGCTCTCCCCGGGAAGTCCCCGCAAAATAACGAAATCCCTGGGGAGTCCCTGTCTTGAGTCTCGGGGGATTCGTCAGGGGACTCCCTGAGGTACTTTAAATGTGCGTGTGGATAATTGATACCATGGAGGAGTGCTCAAATATGGATGCGGGTGAGGGGTATATATGTATTCATATGTCATATATATCGGAAAGTTAAACTAAAAATAAATCTATTGCTAGATTTAGTTTTACTTTAACTTTTTCTTTTCTCCATTTATATTCAAACTCGAATTAGACAGCTACTCCATTTTCAGGTGATAATTGCCGTTGCATAGAATAAGTTGAAACTCCTTGAGATGAACCAACTTTACCTTGACGTTGTTGAATGGGACCCGCTGGCGGCTTACCAGTGCTAAATATAAAAAAGTAACCAATGTTAGGACGTTTTCTGTCTTTTGTCTAAATGGATCCATTGCACAACTGCATGTTAGATTTTGAGGAATATAAATTTTATAGGAAGATCAAAAAACGAATCATACTGATTTTTTGGGCACTTCCCTTTCCCAAAGAAACGAAACCTTGAATTATCGTTGGTATGAAAATGAGTCATTCAAAATTTTTAGTTTAAATGCATTAGGGTTCACTTTTTGGATATCATGTTTTACAAAGAATATGACACGAACAATCGATTTTAGCTATGCTTTTGATATTCATATTATTTCGTTATCGACGAAAATATATTTGAAATCCAAGCGATCAGTGCTACTTTTCTACTGGATCATCTATCTTCTTTGATATTTATTCGTTTGAGAAGAATGAAAATGAGATTTCCGTTGATTTTCTTACCGTCCATCAAATGAACGATCTTCTTCAGGTTTCTTTTCAATGCGTGATCCTTTGGTCCGTGTACGTTGTAGAGCTAAACTCCATGCCTGCAAAAAAACAATAAATTAATCATCAACTAACTGCAAATGAAAACATTTCATACAAATCCCAGGTCAAACAGTCCGGCATGGAAACGGCTGGTTCCGGGTAGTTGCGTTGATTTTGTGGAAGCAGTATTCCGGTTGGAAATTTTCCGGAGATTTCCGATCAATTTCTGCCGGAAAACACCGGAACTTGGCAGGAATTCGCCGGAAAAGTCCGGCCGTATTTTTGACCGGAATACTGCTTTTCATGTTCCAGCGATTTCCCGTATTTTCCTGCAGGATATGGTGACTTTCCCGCATATTTTCTGGGGTATCCTACGGGATTCGGTGGCCGGAATGTTCGACCTGGGTGGGCATTGATTTCGTTTATCATTGGACTGTAATTGCCTTAAACTATTAACACTGAAACAATTTTCTACTCGATCGTCGTCATTTCTATTCAACTCCTGATTAATGCCACTACTACGACTACCATGTCCATCATTATTCTGTTTTTGATTACCACCACTATAGACAGTATCAACAATCGTAGCAAGACTTTGATCGTGGTGTTGTTCTTGTTCATGGATTTCATCGATTGTTGTTGGTTTAGTGTCAGCGCGACGAGCAGCCCATGAAGCCTAATTGATTAATTATTTTAGAAAACCAACCCTAGTCGAACTTCTTTTGGTCTGCGCAGGAGATACTTGACAATCTTGACCAAGAAAGTCATGCGCTATGGACCAAACTTGAGGCAAGTCTTGAGGTATTATTTTGAGTTCAAGCGCTTGACTTTCTTGGCCTATGGCTTGACATTCTGATTACTGTACTTGAGATTTTGGAAAAGCGCATGGGTTGTTCTTGAATAAATTTTTGTAGTACATCAAAAATCTATTCGGTTATAGATATCACTCGACATTTACTGATTTGCTTACATTGTACTTAACAAGTTCTCACGAATGAATCGATAGATAGCATCTGGTGAGAAAACCAGGGTATTGATACATGTTGAATCTAAGTTAAAGACTATAGAACTCGACTACAACTTACGAAAAAATAATATTCGATCTGAGTGAAAATCTTTGGTCTAGAAAGTTTTTTACCACAGTTGACGAAAGGAATAGCACTCTCCTGAGGCTCCCAAGGACACTTCTACTCCAGTCTCTAACATTGCGATTTTTACAAAGTCATAGAAAGCTTCATCAATTTTTATCGACAGATTTCAAATTTCATCGAAAACCATTGCCTTGTCGAAGAGAAATATAATACTACCCCAAATCAATACTTTTCGAAGAACTTAGAGGTCTGCATATGAAGTAGGACACAGCTATCTATGCTATTGTAAAACTAGTAATATTATTGACTAGAACCTAGGTATCGTGTGAGGGAGCTGCGAAATATGCTAATTCATTTCTCAAGATATAGAGGGAAGTTCTTCTCGACGAAAGGTCCTCATTTAGGTTGAATATCATGCTTATTTATGTTTCAGTTGAGGTTCATGCTCTTTAGTTTGGATTCAGTATATGCCCATATCCTGATTATGTCACAACTCAAATGATACCTAATTCGTGATGAATGATAAAAACGAAAAATTTTGAATGCCTAAAAAATGGTTTTTCATCATTTTTAGACAATATTTTATGTATTTCTATGTTCAAGAACTTTCCAGTTGTTAATAAACTTGCGATTTAAGTATTTGTTTAAATTTTAGAATCCCTAGAAATAAATCTGAATCACTCAATTGGTTTCAAATTATGCGCATTGATAGGATTTCACTAAACCGTTGTAGTTGACTAGTCCAATGATGTTTCTTGATACAACCCTCAAGTGTCAACACATGTTTATCTTAAAATAAGCGCATAATCATGCAAGCGTCCAAGCGCTTGTCTATGGAAAGAAAGTCATGCGCTATGGGCCAAACTTGACGCCTGTGCAGGTCCAGTACAGGAGAGAAAAAGTTCGACTAGGGAACTTATTCACTATTTTCGAAATAAATCTGTAATCTTAAGCTGTTGCGTCTTTACTCACTTTTATCAAACTGTGAATGTTTCAGGTGGTACCACTTAGTAACCAACATTAAATGATACAGTATAGAACTTG